GCACAAACACACAACAAAGAGACAGTCCCTGCCCCAAAGAGCTTCCAATCTAGTACACACGTGACGTGTAAAGTCATCTACACCGTGATGCCTTTATATCCCAAAAGGAGATTTCCCACCTGATGAGGCTGGACTCTGTGGGGATCTTCTGAGCTTTTTATTCTAAACAGAGAAGTGGAGAAAATAAAAAAGAAAGGAGATGGAGACAGACAGAGCCTTCTTCCAGCTGCTACGTCCGATCAGCAGAGAACCAGCCATCAGTTCCCACGTGTGGATTCCCCTGCACTAGACGGTTCACGGTTTTATACTTTTCCCTCTGGCCGGTCGCTGCATCGTGCGCCCGTTGCGATTCCGCGAATCAAAATCCAGATGAGCGTATAAGATCCCACCCTGTTTGGCAACAGTGAGTAAAATTAGCCCCTCTTTGTAAAATGAAGGGCTACAAGCTGAGACAGAACTGAACCTCCAAGTGAGTTTAGCCTGATGAAAAATTCCCTCATCTCTGATTCTCCTACTTATATTGTAAATGGTGCGCGTTATCAGAATGGAAACCAGCGCTGGATTCTGACTTTAAGAATCAGCTACTGACAATATTTGGCCAGATCCAAATCCCATGTCAAAGGACAGTCTCCTACACTGAGATCCAGTGAGCTTTGGATCAGGCCCACAGCACCTGTCACTGGAAAATCTTCATGTGCTTTACAAATATAATTTCTTATAACTCTTTATCTTATAAGTGTCAAAAATGTTCCCAGCGCCACACAAAAACCCTGTAAAGGGCACAGTTAGGAACAATAAAACATCAAACTTCCCATCATCCTTGCGCAGTAAGTCTAATTATCCACTTTTTACACATGGGGAAACAGTCACAGAGCAGTAAGTGACTTGCCCACTATCCCACAGTAAATTGGTACCAAAGTTAGCAGAAGGCTCTTTGGTCCCTTTCAGCTACTCCAATTACTAGATCTCACTTTCACCTTCTCCTTCCAGAACAACCAGTTTAATTACTAAATATATGAAGTTGATATATGGATTAGAAATGCCTGAGACAGACACACTGATTTAGACAGAGACAGTTTGCAAAGAGCAGTACCTGGTGCTCCTGTGAAACTGGGGGTGCTGAGATCCTGGGCTTGAATCCTGGAACAAACAAAGACAACAGTAAAACTTCCTCTTCCACAGTCACTCCCCCAGCTGTAGTTCATTGACTAGTGGTGCATCCGAGCTGTGGGTGCGCAGGGCACCACCATGCATGGCACATGGAGAAAGGCTACTGCTCTTTGTGAACTATAGACAAAGTGCCTGGCCATGGGCAGTAGAAGCCTTTCTACATCGCTCCCTTTGTCCCGGAGAACAAAGCCGTTCTCCCGACACAGGAAATTCAAGATTCAGAAAACAAACATTCTGCAATCAGTGCTGGCAGTTGTCACATTGGAGCATGTTCATGTGTTGGACGGGACAGTTACAAGCAGGGGAGTGGGATTTCTCTCTGCGGGAGAGTGTCTGGGCTGGGCTGTGTTTCTTACCTAGAGTAGAAGGGCAGAGGGTCCAGACAAGGCTCAGAGACACCAACAGCAGCAGCAGACCAGCCCCAGCCGCAAGGGGCATGATGTAATGTGAGCACTCACTGGCAGGGGCTGTGGAGGAAGCAAAAAAACAGACACAAGTGGCTGACTAGAGCCAAGAGGGTCGTGATGCCACCACACCCAGCTCTTCCCTCCTGATCCCCATTTCACCACGGACCTTAACCCCTGAGGAGCGAGGCTACAGGAGCCTTCAGCACCTTTCACCTTCTGTTTTGCCCCCTTACCCTTAGGTGAATTCTTTCCCCTGTAATCAGAATCTTCTCTGCGCATTCTGCCATCTACAAAATCCACCCTGTATCTCTCTCCTCACCTCATCGTCTCTCCATCACTTTGTGTATCTCACTGGAAAACATCTCTCATCTCAGATGCCTCTCAATTCCCCTTTTCCTCCTGGTATTTATTATTACTTAGCTCTTTACAGTGCTTTATATTTACAATCTGGGTGAAAGCTACAGCAGAGATCAGAGCTACATTGTTTGGTGATCCCTGTATATCTCACGTGACTTTTCCCCAAATTCTCTAAAGAAATTCCAACTAAGACATAGAATATTCCAGCTTTCTGTGATGGAAAGTTACGTTTAAGCAGCTCTGACTGTGGCCATTTCACCCCTATTTCACATCTGAGTCTCCCTTAACCTCAAATATGGACAATCTGGGTGAAAGCTGCAGCAGAGATCAGAGCTACTTTGTCTTGCGGTCCCTGTATTGTCTCAAGTTTCCTTTCCCAAAACTCCCTAGGGAAGTTTTAATTAAGATATAGAATATTCCAGCTTTCTGTGATGGAAAATTATGTATAAACAGCTCTGATTGGGGCAACTTCACCCCTATTTCACATCTGAGTCTCCCTTAACCTCAAATATCAT